AGGTGGTGGAGGCCAAGACCGTCAGTAGTTTCAAAGTGTTATATGACAAAGAGTGCTGGGAAGACGGGACACTGCGAGCGTAGCTCTCATCCTGTAACTACACTTAGGTAATTACACACACACACACATCACCTAAATAAATAAATAAATTTTTATTCACGTAAGGTACATACATACAAGGTAAGATACAAAGTGGATGGATTTATAGATAGAGCTAGTACATACAATGCCTAAAGCCACTATTACGCAGTGTTTCGGGCATGAAAAACCTTAAAGACTAAAACTTAATACTAATTGAGTTTAAAGTATAAAATGTGTTGATAACAAATAAAAATAAGAAAGGGTGGAACATGACTGAAAAAGCAGCACAAATACAATTAGGTCGACAAACAGCGTTGTTTAAGAAAACAGACATGGGTTGACAATAGAGGGGTAAGGTACGTTACAGGGAATTTATTAGGTATAGCTTCGTTTTTATCTTAAACTGGTTGAGAGAGGTACAGTCTTTAACATGGTTGGGAAGGTCATTCCACATTCTGGGTCCCTTGATTTGTAGAGCATTTCTAGTTTGATTAAGTCGTACTCTAGGAATATCAAAACTGTATTTATTTCTGGTGTGGTGCTCATGGGTTCTGTTACAACCTTCAATGAAGCTTTTGAGGTCAGGATTGGCATTACAGTTCAGCGTTTTATTTATGTATAATACACATGAGAGAATGTGCAGTGACTTAATACCTAACATATTCAGAGATTTGAGTAAGGGTACCGAGTGATGTCTGGGGCCAGAGTTGGATATTGTCCTAATAGCAGCTTTGTGTTGAGTAATTAGACCTCTCAACCGGTTGAGAGATCTAAAGATTGACGGTTGAGAGGCGGGACCAAAGAGCCAGAGCTCAACCCCCGCAAGCACAATTAGATGAGTACACATGCCCTATGCATGTGGGATGTGCCCACATCACACATGCCCATCGTTTCTCGCCGGGCGCCGGCGAGAAACGATGGGCAGAGTTTCTTTCACCCTATGCCCTGGTTACCTAGCAGTAAATAGGTACCTGGGAGTTAGTCAGTTGTCACGGGCTGCTTCCTGGGGTGTGTGGTGTGGAAAAAAATAGTAATTAGTAATAGTTGATTGATAGTTGGGAGGCGGGCCGAAAGAGCAGAGCTCAACCCCCGCAAGCACAACTAGGTGAATACACACACACATTTATTCTAGAAAGGAAGAGTCATCTACAGTATGTGGAGGAATACAAAAAAGTATTCCTCCAGAGGGACAGGATGAAGGAGGAGAGAGCCAGGGCGACAGAGGCAAGAAGGAAGCGCAGGAAATGCAGGGAGAGAGGAGCAAACCAGGAAATCACAGCCCCCAACACAACAGTCCCAGAGACAAGAGGGGAACCCACAACCAGCATCCCAGCAACACCAGAAGGGCGGGCAACACCGCCACCCTCCTCTGCATAGAAACCCTCCCTACCCCTCCCTATCCCTCCTTCCCCTCACCCCGTATCCTCCATGTCCCCCCCTGCTCCTTACTCATAATGCCTCCTGATCTCAAAAGCTTCATAGAAGGTTGTATCAGAACTCATGAGCATCACACCCAGTTTTGATATTCCTAGAGTACGACCCTAGAAATTACCAACCAGAATGTGGAATGACCTTCCCAACCATGTTAAAGACTGTACCTCTCTCCCAGTTTAAGTTAAAAGCGAAGCCTAATAAATTCCCTGTGTACCTTACCCTTCTATTGTCAACCAATGTCTGTTTTTTTCTTTAAAGAGCGCTGTTTGTCGACATAATTGTATTTGTGCTCCCTATGTCCCTACTCTATGCTCAATTAGTATTAAGCTTGTCTCATGCCCGAAACGCTTTGCCCATTGTATGTACTAGCTCTACCTATAAGTCAAACAATCCTTGTAAATATTTATTGTATGTATGTACCTTACCTAAATAAAATTGTATTGTTGTATTTGTATTGTGTTGTATTGTATTGTATTGTATACCCTACCTGCCCCCCTTCCCATGAACCCCCACCCTCCATCCCAGAATCCACTGTGACCCTGTTAACCACCTCACAGACCTTCACACCCAGGGAACAGCTTCCTCCACCAGCAGAACGCTCACCAAAGAAGGTAGCAAGAGAATGAACAGAAGAAAGTGAGCTTCAAGGCAATGGGTCATTCCATCTCAACTCACCAAAAAGTCACCTATGACTCCCACTCGACCCTCTCTAAATGCCATGACATTTTGTAGTAAGATAGCCCTAGACCCCAAATGACACTTTGCAAAATATTAAAGCTCAATCTGCTTTGGTCCTTAAATAACAGGTCCATATTGAATGGGCTCTTGTCCCGCTAATGCGTAAATCCCACAAAAATTACCAACTTTGACCCTTTGTTAAATCACGACTAGTGCCCAGAGAGCTGTGTGAAATTTGGCACACTAGGGCATCTTTTGGTGCGGAATACAGCAGTGTAATAAAAAAAGTAGTTTGGGTAGCCATTCAGCTACTAATCCATGCTAATATCACTGCCAATATATCTCAATATGCGTCATTCCCAATTTGGTTTTGAATGACACCATTGGACAAAGCAGATTTTTCTGTACAAGAGTAACTTTTATTTACACTGAGCTGGCCAGTGTCCTTAACTTGTATACCATGCAAGGTGATGGAGAAGATCGTGAGAAAAAACCTAGTAACACATCTGGAGAGACGAGACTTCGTGACAACTCATCAACATGGGTTCAGGGAGGGTAAATCTTGCCTTACAGGCTTAATATTCCAAGAGTACGACTTAATCAAACTAGAAATGCTCTACAAATCAAGGGACCCAGAATGTGGAAGGACCTTCCCAATCATGTTAAAGACTGTACCTCTCTCAACCAGTTTAAGATAAAAACTAAACACTACCTAATTAACTCCCTGTAACCAACCTTACCCCTGTTATGTCAACCCATGTCTGCTAGTTTTTTAAACAATGCTGTTTGTCGACCAAATTGTATTTTTTGTTGTTTTTCTGCCATGTTCTCCCTTTTTTTATTTTTTATTTTCTCAACACATTTTATACTTTAATCTCAATTAGTATTAAGTTTTAGTCTTTAGTGTTTTTCCTGCCCGAAACGCTTTGCGTAATAGTGGATTTAGGCATTGTATGTACATAAATGTACACTTTGTACATTTATAGATAGAGCTAGCTCTATCTATAAATTCATCAATATTTGTATCACATCTTTTATGTATGTATTTTACTTGAATAAACATTTGAATTTGAATAATCGAATTCTACGATCAGGTGACAAAGATTAAGCAAGAAAGCGAAGGATGGGCGGACTGCACTTTTATTTAATTGTCGGAAAGCCTTTGACACAGTCCCCCATAAAAGGCTGATGCATAAGCTGGAGAAACAGGCAGGAGTAACTAAAAAAAAAAGTGAATAAGGGAGTACCTAAGCAGTAGGAAGCAGAGAGTTACAGTGAGGGGTGAGACCTCAGATTGGCGTGAAGTCACCAGTGGAGTCCCACAGGGCTCTGTACTTGGACCTATACTGTTTCTGATATACATAAATGATCTCCCAGAGGGTATAGACTCATTCCTCTCAATGTTTGCTGACGACGCCAAAATTATGAGAAGGATTAAGACAGAGGAGGACAGCTTGAGGCAACTTGTCCAGGACAAGAAGACCTGGACAAGTTGCAGGAATGGTCGAACAAATGGTTGTTAGAGTTTAACCCAAGCAAATGTAATGTGATGAAGATAGGTATAGGGAGCAGGAGACCAGATACAAGGTATGATTGGGAAGATGAAATACTTCAAGAGTCTGAGAGAGAGAAAGACCTGGGGGTTGATATCACGCCAGACCTGTCCCCTGAAGCTCATATCAAGAGGATAACATGTCAGCAGCATATGCCAGGTTGGCTAACATAAGAACGGCCTTAGAAAATTGTGTAAGGAATCTTTCAGAACTTTGTATACCACATATGTCAGACCAATCCTGGAGTATGCGGCTCCAGCATGGAGTCCATATCTAGTCAAGCATAAGACTAAACTGGAAAAGGTTCAAAGGTTTGCCACCAGACTAGTACCAGAACTGAGAGGTATGAGCTACGAGGAGAGACTACGGGAATTAAACCTCATGTCACTGGGAGACAGAAGAGTTAGACTGGACATGATCACCACATACAAAATTCTCAGAGGAATTGATAGGGTAGATAAAGACAGGCTATTTAGCACAAGGGGCACACGAACTAGGGGGACACAGGTGGAAACTGAGTGCCCAAATGAGCCACAGAGACGTTAGAAAGATTTTTTTCAGTGTCAGAGTAGTAGACAAATGGAATGCATCAGGCAGTGATGTGGTGGAGGCTGACTCCATACGCAGTTTCAAGTGTAGATATGATAGAGCCCAATAGGCTCAGGAACCTGTACACCAGTAGTCAGTAGTTTCAAAGCGTTATATGACAAAGAGTGTTGGGAAGACGGGACACCACGAGCGTAGCTCTCATCCTGTAACTACACTTAGGTAATTACCAGTTGATTGACAGTTGAGAGGCAGGACCAAAGAGCCAGAGCTCATCCACCGCAAGCACAACTAGATGATATACACACACACAGAGGGATGGGATGGGAGAGTTACGAGGGATGGGGTATGAAGAGCGCTTGAAGGAACTGAACCTTACGACACTAGGAAAAAGAAGGAAGAGGGGGGGGGATATGATAGGAACGTATAATATACTCAGGGCAACTGATAAAGTGGAAATAGATGAAATGTTCATACATAATATTAAGAGAAAGAGGGGACATGAATGGAAGCTGGAAAGTCAGGACACGTTCCTCGCGCTTGCTTTTAGTCAATATTGGCTTATTTAATAAGTGCATATGTGACATACTAATTGATTGTGAATATTTTAGTTTACCTTGAAAAGCTTCATAGAAAACACCGACCTCACCTAACCTTCTTAGTATGTTAAGATAAGCATCTTATTGCTTCTTAATTACAATTATTACTTAAGCTATACCATTGTGTGTCAATGGTCGTCAGCACCACAACACTAGTGGACCGTCAGACCTGCCGGACATGATGCACCTGACACTCGTCAGTCCTCTCTAGCCACCACCCTCACCGTGGGTGCTGACAGCTGTGGGTGCTGACAGCTGAGGGTGCTGACGCAGCTGCTGACACTGCTGACACCAGCAAGATGAGTGAGCAGGTGGAGGAGCTGCCGTCCTCGCCGCTGGGCACCAAAGAATAGTCAGTTCTCCTTCCCGTTCTCCCACACACTCGCACATTTGTCACAATTAGTCCACTAATGTCAATTATAATTTGTTCACATGTATCTGTTTCCGTTAAGAAAGTTTTAATTGAGTAACCAAATATCTAACTTGACAGATATGCACTTTTTGAGTTGGTAGATTGTGGCCTAAGCTGGACGAGTCGCCCCGGTGCTGGCACTGTTGACGGGTTATTGGCTAGGCTAAGCTAGGTTAGATGACCAGACCACACACTAGAATGTGAAGGGACGAAGACGTTTCGGTCCGTCCTGGACCATTCTCAAGTCGATTGTAAATCGACTTGAGATTGTTTAGTCACAATCGACTTGAGAATGGTCCAGGACGGACCGAAACGTCGTCGTCCCTTCACCTTCTAGTGTGTGGTCTGGTCAACATACTTTAGCCACGTTATTGTGACTCATCGCCTGCATAAGCTAGGTTAGGTTAGGCTAGGCTAGGCTAGGCTAGGCTAGGCTAGGCTAGGCTAGGTTAGGTTAGGCTAGGCTAGGTTAGGCTAGGCTAGGCTAGGCCAGGCCAGGCCAGGCCATGCCTAGTTACTCTACATGAGGAAAGGTATGTAATTTACACAAGGGTTGAGTTGAAATAAGGTAATTTGTCATTAAACTTATATTGGGGTTCAGGACAAATGGTGGGACGATAAGGAGAGGAAGCTGCCGGCTTCCTGTCCTCATCGAAGCCACTAGAGTGAGTGGCCTTCAGGTAAATTTAATTAATATATAGTACATATGTATACAGGTCATTTTGTCTATTATTTCACATTTATGCAGTCCCCGTGGTGTAGTGGTAAGACACTCGCCTGGCATTTCGCGAGCGCTTTCTCCTGGGTTCGTATCCTGGCCGGGGAGGATTTACTGGGCATTAATCCTTAACTGAACCCTCTGTTCACCCAACAGTAAAATGGGTACCTGGTTGTTAAACAGTTTGGCGGGCCGTATTCTAGGGAACATAGGAGTAAGGACCTGCCTGAAATGCTACACGTGGTTGTGGCTGTACAAGAATGTAAGAACTCTTGTACTGTATATATAAAGAAAAATACAGTTTTACTTTCTTAAGATTTCACTATGCAGTATGTTTCAATGTATTTTTCAACTAATAGGATGGAATTGGTTAGGTATAAAAATCTCTATTTACCTGAATTTACCTTAAGGCCACTATCTCTCTAGTGGCCTTGATGTGGACAAGAATCTGGCGGTTTGTCAAATGTTCCACCATTGTTCCTGACGACAGAAATGGTTCAGCACATTTCCTTTCACCTAATGCCGCTGTTCACATAGCAGTAAATAGGTACCAAGATTTAGGCAACTGTTGTGGGGTTGCATCCTCGGGAAGGTCAGTAGTTTGACCTTGGAAGGAACCTCAATACTTGCCTGACATACTGTATATACATACACAGGCTGCCTGTTCCCCCAACACAATGAATTATTATTATTATAGTATTATATTTGGGCAAATATGGTATTAATGTTACAAGTAATAATCAGTTATTTATATTTCAGTTGGGATTCTACATATGACACTGAATTATCAAACTATAAAAGTGATGGAAACATTGGGGATATCTGGTTTGGAGAAGAGAGCATCGAACGAGTATTAAATTGGATGCTGGAATCCGATATGGTGAATCTACAATCTTCTATCATTGATGTGGGCTGTGGTAATGGTGCTTTTCTTATATGTTTGGTAAGGAAATATTATATAATATATTTTTAAAATGTAAAGAGTATGCAGTTCTTGGTATTGTACAAGTACTGGTATTGTTGTTATTGTATAACAACCTCAGGGACAATAGCAATAGTATATGCAGGTAACCATAAGCCTTACGATAGCATAAGGAACCAATATAGCTACTGTACTGACCCTCAAATGCCCATATGATTAATCAGAATTGAACAGCTGATTGATTCACCTAATCGTAATGAATCAGTTTAACATTAATCCCTTATCAAAGGATCAGTGTTAAATGTTAAACAATCACTGTGATATATTGCCCCATATCACACCACCTGGGAAGACTCAACTGCTGAAAGAAGGGAAACAGAAAATATGTTGGTCTCTGTGCTCGGCAAACATATGGATGGCATGAACCCATGATGAACAATTTAGTATGTCACCTGCCAAAATGTTAGCTTCATAGGCCTTCCCCTCTCCTCTCCTTCCCTCCCTCTGGCTCTCTTTCTTGCCTCACCTGCATTTCATACCCTGCTACGTCTTCCTCTCTCTCGCCCCTATTCTTTATGTATCCTAACCTCACCACCCTCCAGTGTTTCTCCATTGCCACCCCTACCCTCCTCCTCTCATCTGCTTTTTCCCTTTTTCCTTCCTCTATATATCTGCCTTCTCTCTTGCTTATCTTCCCCATCCCCTCTCCTGCCCCACTTATCTTCCTATCTATTTTTCTCCTTCACTCTCTCTTTCTCTCCCCTCTTTCCTCCTATATTTTCTCCCCCAGCTTCCATTTTTGCCCAAACTTCTTTCCCTTCAGGAGGGAGGCTTGATCATCTGAACTGGGTTGGACCTGGATTTTACTCCTTGCATCTAATAAAACTTGGTTGCACAAGCCTAGCATACTAACTCGTGTATAGTGCATGTAAATCTCTATTCACACAATAACAATTTTAGTGCAAAATTCCAAACAATATGGCTGCAAATCTATATAAACCAAATTAGCACATATTGAGGATTGACTGTATTGGAGACATTTTGGGACAGTATTTAAAAACAATATTTACAGTACTGTATTGTTATTATGTCTTTCTGTATTTTGGAATGCTTACAGAACCTCTATTTCAGGCTGCTGAAGGTTTTACTAACCTTTTGGGAATTGACTACTCTCAAAATGCCATCGAGCTTGCACGGGCCATTGCTCTGGAGAAGAAACTTGACATCAAGTATGAGGTTAGTGTTAGTGTACTGATGCTCTTGAATGTACTATACTTGATCTTGAGTAATGATTATGTAAGAACTTTAACTGTATAGACAAAGTGATGTTACTGCACTGAGATACAGTGCTGTAGTTGGTTACTTCTTGATAGTAACTATACTTCTTAGCGCTAAATGCCAAACACTGCTGCTATTCAAGATCAAGCTCGATAAAGTCATCAGGGTAAATGGGGGAAGTTTTGATGAGCCGCTGGTTTCCTGTCCTCATTGATGCCACTAGAAAATAGTGGCCCTCGGGTAAATTCAAGTCAATAATTAACACTCATGTTTTAGTGACACATTAATGCATCGAGAGAAACAATTAGTTTGATGTTTCGAGGTAAAATTATTGCTTTATTGATCCAAAATATTCCCAAGTCACTTCATGAACTATTCATTATGTATGTATTGTGATGATATAACTTGTGCATCTGATAATACTTATCTATTTTATTATTTACTTAAGATCATTTATTGCCAAACATTTTGATACCAGAACTAGGCAAAATAATGTTCCAGTCATGTTAAACATTGCAGATTTGTAAACTGAAAATTTATTTTTTTATTACGGTATTGCACTGCCTAGTCTGGTTTCTTTCAAATATATTGATTAAACATTATTCAAGTAAATTTTTGCTCTTTTTTACATTTATCAATCATTTGCATGCCATAAATAATTATGCTATGTAAATATGTTGATAAGGTTCATTAGCTCAGCCAGCCAGCCAGCCCATCCTCCTGTTGTGGTAGTGCTTCTGGTGACCATGAGGACCATAGTATATATACTCTACTGACGTTCAATGCAATTAAAAAGTAGAAATCGGACATAATGAATTTGGACAGACCGGAAAAGATTTTCTATTTATGTTGCCAAGATAAACTAAACTAACCAAACCTATCCTTCCTAGGCCTAATATAGTACATACGTGGGCTATACTAGGCTGAGGAATATTTATTCTGGAACATTCGTTTTAGAATATAATATCCAAATCAAAGATCTTGTTTGTTTATAAATAGACCTACAAACTGAAAATTAATTCAGAGATCGACTTGAGAATGGTCCAGGACGGACCGAAGCGTCGTCGTCCCTTCACCTTCTAGTGTGTGGTCTGGTCAACATACTTTAGCCACGTTATTGTGACTCATCGCCTGCACATGAATTCAGAGTTCCTGCCTTATGAACATTGATGCATACGAACATTCTCCCAGGTCCCCATGTACACCCTTCATGCATAAAATTATTGTACTAACTCGCTGGAGCGTTCCTTTGAATTTCGTGGCAGTGCGTCAGAGCGGCAACCACATGGTGGTGCAGTATTGTATGGGTGGTGGTGGTGGTGGTGTGTGTTGGGTGGGGTGGGGGGGGGGGGGGCTGGGGTGTGTGTGTGTGATACACTCCCACCAATCAGTGGGGTGGGGGCCCTGGGCTGTTGATAGGAGGGTGGGGAGGTGTTTACTCAGGCCAATTACAAAATGGCGGACCACCAATACAGTGCACATGTATTTTCATTTATTTATTCATGTAACCAAAACTTTGCTAACTTTTAAAGTACAGCTGGAAAAGATCATCAAGATAAATGGGGTAAACCTTCGACAAGCTGCCGGCTTCCACTAGTGTTAGGGGCTCCCAGGTAAACAGGTAAACTCAGGCAATTGTACCACTTCACTCTTCAAAAACAACTCACTTTGACAAGCACTATAACTCCATCATTCAAGGTAAATAATGTTGTGGTTTATTTTATATCATATGTCCCAAAAACATTGGTTTTGTGACGAGTTTTGGTGGCCTGGGAATGTACCTCACACTCATAGCATTGAGGCTGTGGAAAATTCTCATCTGCGTTCCGAACAAATGCTTTACAAACACAGTCTCAGAACGTAACTCGTTCATAATTAGGGAACTGTCAGTATATTGTATATAGCTTTTAATGAATTTCTCTTATAAAAGCAACAATGTCTTGATGATGTATCACAGTTACATCCCTAAAAACAAAAACAAAAACACATATTTAATGAATTTTAATAAAGATTGCATTGTTTGATAGTGCAAACATCACCAGGCAACACAAAGGTAGATATTTTGTATTTTGGGATCTCCTCCACAAATTTAAATACTGTACTGTACATATTTACAGTAGGTTTATAAGAAAAACTTTGAATTTGAATTTTTTGGGAATATTGTGTACTCAGTCTTGAACAGAATTTATTCCTTTGGAATCCTGATTGGAACTAAACATTTTTCTTCCATTACAAAATAGGATGACTCTGGATGTATTATATATTTTTGTAAAATTTCCAGCCAAACCTGTACAGTATTAACTTTTGGGGACCGTAACTCGTCAACATTAGCGTCATTGACTGTACAGTATACCTAAATACGTACATTGAAAATCAAACATTAAACATAATGGAAGGCGTATTTTTGGAGAGGTTGCCATAGCTGTGATACTGCTAAGTCTTAGTTGAACACAACAGACCTCTTGGACCCCTCCATCACCCACTGGGAGCCACCACCCACTGGGAGCCACCACCCACAGGGAGCCACCACCCACTGGGAGCCCCCACCCACTAGGAGCCACCACCCACAGGCAGCCACCACCCACAGGCAGCCACCACCCACAGGCAGCCACCACCCACTGGTAGCCCCCCACCCACTGGGAGCCCCCCACCCACTGGGAGCCCCCCACCCACTGGGAGCCCCCCACCCACTGGGAGCCACCACCCACTGGGAGCCACCACCCACAGGCAGCCACCACCCACAGGCAGCCACCACCCACAGGCAGCCACCACCCACAGGCAGCCACCACCCACAGGCAGCCACCACCCACTGGGAGCCCCCCACCCACTGGGAGCCCCCCACCCACTGGGAGCCCCCCACCCACTGGGAGCCACCACCCACAGGCAGCCACCACCCACATTGTTCAACCACCCACACGGTGCAACCACCCACTGGGAGCCACCACCCACAGGGAGCCACCACCCACAGGGAGCCACCACCCACATGGTGCAACCACCCACTGGGAGCCACCACCCACTGAGAGCCACCACCCACAGGCAGCCACCACGCACAGGCAGCCACCACCCACAGGCAGCCACCACCCACTGGGAGCCACCACCCACTGGGAGCCACCACCCACTGGGAGCCACCACCCACTGAGAGCCACCACGCACAGGCAGCCACCACCCACTGGGAGCCACCACCCACTGGGAGCCACCACCTACAGGCAGCCACCACGCACAGGCAGCCACCACCCACTGGGAGCCACCACCCACAGGCAGCCACCACCCACTGGGAGCCACCACCCACTGGGAGCCACCACCCACAGGCAGCCACCACCCACAGGGTGCCACCACCCACTGGGAGCCACCACCCACTGGGAGCCACCACCCACAGGCAGCCACCACGCACAGGCAGCCACCACCCACAGGGTGCCACCACCCACTGGGAGCCACCACCCACTGGGAGCCACCACCCACAGGCAGCAACCACGCACAGGCAGCCACCACCCACTGGGAGCCACTACCCACAGGCAGCCACCACCCACAGGGTGCCACCACCCACTGGGAGCCACCACCCACTAAGAGCCACCACCCACAGGGTGCCACCACCCACTGGGAGCCACCACCCACTGGGAGCCACCACCCACAGGCAGCCACCACCACTGGGAGCCACCACCCACTGGGAGCCACCACCCACAGGCAGCCACCACCCACAGGCAGCCACCACCCACAGGGTGCCACCACCCACTGGGAGCCACCACCCACTGGGAGCCACCACCCACTGGGAGCCACCACCCACTGGGAGCCACCACCCACAGGCAGCCACCACCCACAGGGTGCCACCACCCACTGGGAGCCACCACCCACTGGGAGCCACCACCCACAGGCAGCCACCACCCACAGGCAGCCACCACCCACAGGCAGCTCCCACCCACTGGGAGCCACCACCCACTAAGAGCCACCACCCACTGGGAGCCACCACCCACTAAGAGCCACCACCCACTGGGAGCCACCACCCACTGGGAGCCACCACCACAACTGGTTCACCTTATGAGGCGAGGGAAGCCTTGGCATAATAGTGAACCAAGGCCAAGGACAAAACAAGCATAGGTGCAACAAAACAAACAACTGCTCTAAAGAAACTAGGCACAGCCAGGTAAACAAGGAAAACAATTGTTGATGTAGGGTAAAGACACTGTCACGTGCCCAACTGTTACAAGATAACATCCCAGGTCGTTCAGGGTTTTGGCTAGCCCGCGCCCCTCACTCTGGAGCCGCCCATACGAAACCCACACGGAGAACAAGGGAACGGTACAGGAATGGGGACTTATCGGGGACCTGCCAGAATGGCATTTCATTACATATTCAAAAACTTTTCTTTGAACCACCGGTTACTCTGTCATGCCAGCCTGTTTATGTTTATTAGGAATTCATGTGACTGGTGAGGAAACCACGAGGACACACACACAGCCTCTGAGTAATTCTATCAGTTTTTCCAAATTAAGTTTTTAGACATTTATGCCAACTGTTTTTCTGTGCATGTGTAATTAGATAATACAAATGGAGGAGGACATTAAATGAGTTGTATTTCTTCTTATTAGTTTGGATGTGAGTAAATGATCACTTTGAGTATAGCTATGAAAGGAATTATGTTTATAGTTATTTAATAATTAAAGACTATGTTGATAAGTTATAACTAATTTGTTTTTCCTCTCTCAAGCCAGTTGACTTACTGAGTGAAGGTGGAAAGAATCTGATCGCTAATTTATATGATATCTGCCATGATAAGGGAACCTATGATGCCATATCCCTTTGCCCTGAAGAGCCTCAGAACAAAAGGTTATCTTACATCAAGGCCATTCACAACATTACCAAGGAAAATGGCCTCTTTATCATAACATCTTGCAACTGGACAAGTGAGGAACTGATAGGACATTTCAAAGGCTGTAAGTAACTATTCCATATTTTGTAATATATTTGTTATTCATTATGTATTCATTCTCTTAGTTTTTGGGGACTGTTGCATGGACTATACTGTACTTAAAAATGTCTCATACAGGCTTTTTCAAGCTAGATAAGTTATGCTGTAAGAAGTTCAGTTGTCTTATAAATATAAGACAATTTTTAAAAGCTAATAAATTCTTATAGAAAAGAAGTATTTTTCTACAGGAAACAAGAACCCATTGTTCCTAAGGAGGAAAATGTGTATTATAATTTCTTTTGTGTCAGTTGAGTCATTAAATCTGCACAAATATTTTAAGCAATATAAATAGAAAACTAGAGCACTGAATGTATTCAGACACCACTTTCTGAATAGCCCTTCAGTAGCTAACATATACCATGGCACCGAACCCTCCCAGAACACTGCCAGTCTGCCAGGCTTTGAACAACTCTGCACCCTAGATACAAATAATAAACCACTGCAATGTAACACCACTATAGAGTATACATAAAAAAAAATGAAACATTAATCATTTGTAACACCACCATATAGCACCCGGAACCAAAAGGTATCCGACAAGGAAATGCTACACAGGATTAATATTGGTGCCACCATCTGCCTTTACAACTCTAGCTGAATCTGAGGTACAGGCTGATCTTACCAAGGCATTCCCATGGTGAGTCATGGGTGCACTCTCCCGGCGTTACAGCAAGAACATCACAGTCTTGGTTAAGGAGGCAACCGAGTGGTACAGCTTTGAAATATTCATAAGATGGGGGGATCCATTATAAGCTTTTTTGAGTGTATGGTTTACAGGATGGTGTGTATATCACAACTACATACTGCAGCACTGCTTTTAGCATTTTAATGTTAATGTTAATATAATTTTAATACAAAAAAATTCTTTTATATTTCAGACTTCAGTGAAGTGCACACTATCCCAACTCCAACCTTCATGTTTGGAGGCAGAGTTGGTTCTCAGATAAGCTGTATTGTTTTCACAAAGGTCTCCAGGTAAATGTGCCAGCCATAATTTAGTAGATACTAGTTACTTTGCCTTAACACAAAGAAATGTTCAGGTAATACACTATAAAATGCTGTACCAGGTGCTGTCAACAATTGGTTACAAGACTACAGTATGCAAGACTGTACAGAGGAGTGTTTCATGAAAGCAAGACGAGACACTACAGTGCAACCCTGATTCAGCGAACTGTACGGGACCATCCTTGATTCCTTGGAGTAATGGATTCGTTGCAACTAGAGATGTTTTCAGGAGGCATTTGTGAGACGTATTTTTAAGACAAGAAAAATACACTGCTTCACCCGTTTCATTCTTCTACTGTTGCCTAAACCTATCATTAAAAATGTGATTGGAGCCATAATGAGAGTTGCTGTTAATGCTTTTAAAATTTCCCGTACTTTATGGGCTAATTTCACCGAGTGAAATGTTTATTTCCACCATATGCTGGATATCTACAATGAGAACCTGTCTGTAGAGAGCTTTCACCGCATCTAGTTCATTTAATGGACTAGTTTACTGAACAAGTTGAAGAACGTTGATCTGGACAATTTCTTCAGGTCAGATGCAACACAAACCTGGAGTAACGGGTTCAAGCTCAACAAGCCACAATGTTGGACTGAGAACAGCAGATGCTTTTTCACCCACATGGTTATTAACCTATGGAACCGCCTACCCGCCGAAGCCGTAAATGCCAAAACTGCTGAATTTCAAAATCTACCTGGAAAAGATCATCAAGGCAAATGGGGGACCTTCGACAAGCTGCCGATTTCCTGTCCTCGTCGAGGCCACTAGGGTTAGTGGCCCTCAGGTAAATCGGGTAAATTTTCCATGCCCCAGCCTCAGAACTGCATTTTCAAAGGAAGAAGGGGCCATAATTAAGTGAATGAAATGTGCAGCAACTAGAAATGAAAGCGAACCATAAAATTTGGTTTTAAATATTCTCATTGACTTTCTCAAAGCTCCAATTCTTCCTTACAATTTTGCTTCTTTCTACAAAAATGATTAAAAATGTGATTGGTGCCATATTAAGAGTTACAATTCATACCCTAAACAAGGTGGACAAAGACAAACTATTTAGCACGGGTGGAACACGAACAAGGGGACAAAGGTGGAAACTTAGTACCCAGATGAGCCAGAGAGACGTTAGAAAGAATTCTTTCAGTGTCAGAGTAGTTAACAGATGGAATGCATTAGGCAGTGATGTGGTGGAGGCTGACTCTATACACAGTTTCAAATGTAGATATGATAGAGCCCAGTAGGCTCAGGAATCTGTACACCAGTTGATTGACGGTTGAGAGGCGGGACCAAAGAGCCAGAGCTCAACCCCCGCAAGCACAACTAGGCGAGTACTTCCTATGCTCTCTGGGCTAATTTCAATGAGCAAAATTTTAATGTCTACCTATCATATAATGGCCAACTTTACCACCTGTGTTTGTTGCAATTGGAGATTCACCAAAACAAGGTTCATTGTATCAAGGTTCCACTGTAATTATACCACAACAAATGAGATAAGAAAGTAGGAGAATCCTATTTAAAATAATTGGGTTGTTAAAATCAGTACAAAACATAAGAGTTAATGTTTTCCATTGGCACTTCAATAATGGTTTTATTACAGTTGTTATTTATATTAGTTTTAACTACAAGCATTTTAATGTGTTTATGATAGTTGGGAAAACTGTGAACTACTGTACAAGGAAAATCATTTTTGATTGCAAATTTACGAGACATAAAACTGTTCACAAGTGGATACAGTATTTTTAAAGCTGACCTTCAATTAAAATCTTGATCTTTAAGATTTGAAACTGAATTCAAAGTACATTATTATTATTGTGTATTATAGATGAATGTCTATGCAAGGTGTACTAAAGTTGTCATGTACTCAAATTACATAACATATAATACAAATTCCTAAAATTTGACTTTGGACCCATATCTGTGACCTGAAATCAGTACATTACTTGTCATAGCCAAAATATATGGACACTTGATATTGCATTGACTTGTATAAGTCAATATACAGTAGTGAAAAAGCTACACCAATTAGCACTTGGAATTTGGTCCAGTCAAATTTTAGGAATTTGTATTATTTTTTGTTATGTAATTTGAGTACATGACAACTTTAGTACACCTTGCATAGATGTATTGTTGATGTAGATTAATATAAATTGGGCCTTTGGCACAAGACAGTGAGCCTTGATGTTGGGTGCTCAGTATGTAATGCTGTGGACTCAACCACTAGTAACATGTGCTGTATTTTTCACAAATAAGTGTGTGAATACCAGACTGGAGGCAAGTCTGAGGTAAATAAATATAATAACTGAACATTGTTCGATTTGCTACTTATCAATTACGTATTAGCTTTTGTATATTATTTTGCATTTTCACTACTATATTAATATTGTTATTAAGTACTGTACAGTAATTGTAATTATAAAAATAGTAATATTACAGGTAATTTAGATATTGTGTAGAGATGATGGGTGTGAAGCTGTACAATTTGCCATAAGCCAAATAACTTGTTTATATGAGCAAGTTGGATGTGACTGACACAGGATTTGATAGTTACAAAATAGTGACAGTATTAAAAATTACATAAAGGGCACGAAATTAAACAACAATATTGTACTGTAGTATGAATTGGTGTAGCAAATAAAGTGTATACAATACAGTATGTAGTAAATTAGTAATGTAGATTTAAATGCATAGTACATTCCCAGTACTATATTTTATTTGAAAATAAGACGTGTGTAAATTATATTAGTGTTACCAGGGACTAACAGTGTACGCTGTCATGTGATGACGTAAGTAAATTATAAACCAGTAATAAAATTTGTATGGCACTCTTACCTTTTGAGCTGTCAATTAACATTACGTTCAACCCCAGTACAGTACCATAACTTATGGTCCAACCCATCAGCACATAACCAACCATAAACCTTATAGGCATCTTAAGATCCCACCGAGTGATGCCTGAAATGTTCATACTTTTTTTTTTACATTTTCTCAGTTTTGGATCACACGTATTCTCTAATGAATTTGCTAGCATATAGATGCAACATATGACAGTATCTTACTGTACTGTAGTAGATGCAACTATTTTCATACACTTGGATGGCTATCCTTTTTTCCTCCTATATTGACATAATTTTGCTTTCATATTTGGCTTGAGATTCTATTGAGGACAGGAACCTCTTTAGGCTTATGAAGTAATTATCAAAAGAAGGCACCAAGCCAGGAAGACTGTGTAGCACCGTCTGTGTTGCAATATATCCAAGAGGCACAATATCACTACAATATTACTCAAGATGCCAAAACAAGAACAAAGGGACATTGAGCGAGTGACATCAAAGGATGTCACTCAAAAGACACAAAGGTACTCTGGACTAATCAGAGATATTACAATCTCAGATACTACATACTCAGACCATAAGCTCATTGAAGTGCAAACTAACCTCAATAATGGTAGTAGGTCAAAGAGAACCAACAAGCGAGAAAGGTCATTCAATCAATTCAATTTCAACAATAAGAGGATCGACTGGAAAAAATAAATATAGACCTTGAAAACATTCAATGGGAGATGGTCTAAGTGACAAAACTCCCACACAGGGAGCTCAGCTGAAGCTTACAAGGTCTGCTTGAAGCACGTGCCTGTGAGGAGGGGTAGAAAGGGGACCACTCTAGAAAGAGAACGCAGATGACTACAAGAGAAGGAAAAAAATCACAGAAATGCTTTAGCAGATACGACTATCACAAGACAAGGAAAATAAATCTAAAGAGGGAAATCGACAAAATAGAGCAGATGCTGAAGTGATCATACAAGTCTGAGGAAATTAAATTGGAACAAAAAAGCTATACAAGAGATAAAGAAAAATCCAAAATATTTTTTCACATATGCAAAATCAAAATCCTCCACCAGTATTGGACCTTGAATTACAACCGAAGGTGTGTACACAGAGGACAACAAAGAAATTAATGGAATTCTGAAAGGCCAATATGAGGCCATATTTAGCACCCCCAATAAACATGAAAGTTGAAGATCCAGACAGCTTCTTTACGATAGCTGCAGATATTATAACTGATATTAACACGAACTTGGAAGACTGAAAGAGAAATTGACAACATGCCCATGCACTCAGCCCCTGGTCCTGACTCATGGAATTCAATATTCATAAAGAAATGTAAAGTACCAGTAGTCCGAGCACTTAGCGTAATATGGAGAGAGAGCCTGGATACAGGGGAGATACCAGCAGCACTTAAATCAGCAGATATAGCTCCTCTGCACAAGGGAGGTAGTAAAGCTAAATTATAGATCAGTTGCACTATCAAACATAATACAAGTTTTTGAAAGTGATTATGAATCAAATTTCCAGTTTTCTGGGAAATAATAAACTTCACAAGCCAAAACAACATGGATTTAGAGCAGAAAGATCCTGTCCTACTTTGCGATGATTTCTGGACTCAACGTCCCTATGGCCCAGTCCTCGACCAGGCCTCCTGGTTGCTGGACTGGTCAACCAGGCTGTTGGACGTGGCTGCTCGCAGCCTGACATACAACTCACTGCCTGGTTGATCATGTATCCTTTGTAGGTGTTTATCAAGTTCTCTCTTTAACACTGAGGGGTCAGCCAGTTATGTCCCTTATGTGTAGTGGAAGCGTGTTGAACAGTCTCGGGTCTCTGATGTTGATAGAGTTCTCTCTCAGGGGTACCTATTGCACCTCTGCTTTTTAACAGGGGTATTCTGCACATCCTGCCATGCCTCCTAGTCTCATGTGGTGTTATTTCTGTGTGCAGGTTTTGGACCAGCCTCTCTACTATTTTCCATGTGTAAATTATTATGTATCACTTCCACCTGTGCTCAGGAGAATGCAGATTTAGGCATTTTATTCAATCCCAATAGTTCAGATGTTTTACCGAGTGGATTCTAGCAGTAAAGGATCTCTGCACGCTCTCCAGGTCAGCAATTTCTCCAGTTTAGAAAGGAGCTTTCACTGTGCAACAGTATTCCAGAGCAATGGAATACTTATTCCAGAGCACTGGAATACCTTTCACTGTTGCACAGTGAAAGGGGCTTTCACTGTGCAACAGCTAGAGAGCACTAGCGTCTTGAAAAGTATCATCATTGGTATAGCATCTCTAGTGCGAAAGGTCCTGATCTTTTAACTGTGTCACAGTTACTCAACCACTATGACAAAATCACAGAAGCCTTAGAAGAAAAGCAAAATGCAGATGGTGTATAACACAGACTTTACAAAGGTATTCGATAAATGTGATCACGGATTGATAGCCCATACAATGATATCAAGAGGAATAACTGGTAAATTGGGGCATTGGATTTTTAACTTTCTCAAACAGAATGCAGAGAGTGATGGTCAATCAAATAAGATCAAACCCAAGTGCAGTGAAAAGCTCTGTACCCCAGAGTACAGTCCTTGTACCGCTACTATTTCTTATTCTTATCTCGGATATAGATAAATACTAGCCACAGCTTTGTGTCATCCTTTGCTGATGATACAAAAATCAGAATGAAAATTTCCTGTGTAGCAGACACTGAAAAACTGCAGGCAGCTATTAATAAAGTCTTCAATTGGGCAACTAAAAATAACATGATGTTTAATGGTTACAAGTTCCAGGTACTGAGGTATGGTGGAAACGAGGAAGTTAAATGAAACACGGTACAGGACACAATCATAGAAGGAAAGCAACATGTAAAAGATCTGGGAATTATGTGATGTCTGACGACTTGACATTTAATAAACATAACCGAGGAAAATGATAGGATGGATTATGAGAATGTTCAAATCCAGAGATCCCACAACAATGCTAATAACATAGGATAGCACCAGTGATTTTAATAGTACTGTCTTGAGTATTGCTCTGTACTCACTTTCCCCTTAATAGCAGGAGAAATTTTGGAATTAGATGAATACAGAGAACCTATACGGCACGCATAGAAACAATAAAACATCTAAATTATTAGGACCGTCTCGAAGCTCCCAAAATGTTACTTGCTGTAAATGAGATGAGAAAGGTATCAAATAATATACGCATGGAAGATACTGGAAGGCCAGGTCTCAAATTTTCACAGTAGAATAACAACATACTTTAATGAAAGATATGAAAGGAAATGCAGAATAGAACCAGCGAGTAGAGGTGCCATAGGCAGAGATCATTGTCTTAACATTAGAGGTCCACTGCTGTTCAACACCCTCCCAGCAAGCATTAGAAATATTGCCGGAACAAAGGTGGATGTATTCAAGAGGCACTTAGACAAGTTCTTGCAAGATGTGCCGGACTAACCAGGTTGTAGTGGATATGTGAGCCTGTGGGCCGCTCCAAGCAACAGCCTGTTGGATCAAGCTATCACAAGTTGAGCCTGGCCTCAGGCTGAGCTAAGAGAGTAGAACTCCTGAAACCCTTTCCAGGTAAACTGGATTTTTCATAGCTTCTATCAAGAGACAAGTGAACCCTTGAGGGACAATAGGAAAGCAAAATGAACGACCTTGAAAACTGGGACAGTCTACAAGGAGGTGCTAGACTTGTCAAGCTACCCATAGCCAAGATCGAGACTGTCATAACAAGTTACTAGCCAGAACTAATGGTGTTTAACCTAATTCATCTACAAGTGTTTATATGTGCATTACACTACTAATTAAAAATAAGGTTAATGATGTCAATGAGTTTCAATTCTTCTTTTAATTGTTATTAAAATATCTAAGGGATTTATTTTACAAAAATAAAATGAACCCATCTTAGACCTGAGGATATATTCTGAATCAGAATATAAACTTATTTATACTTAAATTTATAAAGGTATCACTGGCATGAGTTTTTCAGAAAGCATTTTATTTTATAATCAATAATGTAAAAGTCAGCAATACCCAACTGTTGTTAAATATTAGTATATAATTTACTATGTATTAAAAGGTTATCTAGCTTGTATAAATATGGTTTCTTGAGGGAATAATCCAGCATCTCTTAAGGTTACATTAAAGTCCATGTAGGAAATTTCTCGCCGGGGAAAATTTGTAACCAATTCATACTGCTCGTTGCTGAAGCCCTTCGTACCTACATATTTCACCAAGGCCTGTAAAGAAGAGAATGTCAATAGTAATCAATTATGACATATACAGCTTTCACTCTTACTACAATGGAAATGATGCTATTAACTTACCGTAATATTTTAAGTGGCACAAGATATATGTCATAGTACAGTATTATTGACCCTGAGTACAGTATTAATGATGAAGCTTACTATAATACCATAATGTTTGAATGAATGCACTGTTTACACCACCTTGATAAAGGGTGCAGGTTCATTTGAAAATTTGGTTTAATAATACACTTAAACAAGTCCGGGGTCTCTCCTTCACCTTTACTGTATTAATTTAATCTTATAAACAGAGAAAATTACAACACAAGCAGCTTGTAACTATCTCTTCTACTGTGATGTTTAAATAATTTTAATGCAAATCGTTCTCAAATTTGCACACAAATGCCTACACCCCTTACAACCCACCAGGCACCAAAGCTTGTCAACAAAGACACTGCTCAGTACCATATGCTTCCAGCTACTGATGCCTAAAATTTACACACACACATGTAGAGGTATACACACAGATGTATGCCACCAAACTAGTCCCAGAACTGAGAGGTATGAGCTATGAAGAAAGGCTAAGGGAGCTGAACCTCACGTCCTTGGAAAACAGAAGAGTAATGGGAGACATGATAACCACCTACAAATTTCTTGGGGAAATTGACGGGGTGGACAAAGACAAACTCTTTAGCACGGGTGGGACACAAACAAGGGGACACAGGTGGAAACTTAGTACCCAGATGAGCCACAGAGATGTTAGAAAGAATGTCTTTCAGTGTCAGAGTAGTTAACAAATGGAATGCATTAAGTAGTGATGTGGTGGAGGCTGACTCCATACACAGTTTCAAATGTTGATATGATAGAGCCCAATAGGCTCGGGAATCTGTACACCAGTTGATTGACGGTTGAGAGGCGGGACCAAAGAGCCAGAGCTCAACCCCGCAAGCACAACTAGGTGAGTACACACATTGACCAAAACACAGGTCATATTGCATATATTATATGCAATATGTCAATAACATATATTTTTTGCTTGAACAACCTAGATATTTAAATAAAAAAATCATATCTTCAGTCCAGCTTGACTCAAACTATGATCCTACAACCCTGCATCTTTGTCTTCCAATTCACTAAATTAATGAAGTGTTCTTAATTGTATGAATAACATTCATGTGTGCAGGCCAAAAAATACTTGACAATTAATAAAATTGCCTTCCAATAACCTAAGCAATTATCAAAAGAAGGTGCCATGCCTGGAAGACTAATTTATACCTAAAGTAAGTAATTATAAAAAAGAAGGCACCAAACCGGGAAGGCTATGTAGCACCATCAAATGTGCGGGATAATCAGAGGGCGCTAAATATCACCAAGCATGCCAATATGAGAACAGAAACGCATAAGGCAAACGATATAAAAAGTATCCGAGTCACCAAGAATACTATCAAGAGACAAGCGACCGCGGGGGACGGTCAAAAAACAAGACACACGCTCGTCCTGGAAGTCAGGACATTCAACAAGGATATACACAACCGTAAGAGGGACAATGCAATTAGGACAATAAGGAGCAGGGCAGTGCTCCATCAAGTGACCATAAGTTAAGCGAGTATGGCCAATACGCAACCTCGCCAGAGCCGTTTTCCATTGCCAGTTATGGTGGTAGGACGGCCACGAGGACACACAACTTTTAAGAGAACGTAGTTTGTTACCAGTAACAGAACAACAAGCCTGCCAGCGGGTAAGGATGGAGGAATGGATAACCGGGTAAAAGTCGGACTAAGGAATACCTTTACGAGAGATGGGACAAGAGCAGACAGCTTCCCTGGTGGCAGCATCCGCACGCTCATTTAAAGAGACACCAATATGGCTGGGAACCCAACAAAACTCAACCGACTTAAATTTACTGTGAACAAGAAACAGTCAATGCTGGATCTCAACAACCACTGGATGAACTGAATTAAAGGACCCAATTTGTACCTAAAATTTGCTTATTTAACTAGCTATACAGTAGAGTATCTATATATTTGATTTAAATTTCCATTCCACCTGCAATCAGAGTAAAATAGCTGCCGCTTTCTTCCATTGAGAAACTGAAACATTAAAACAAAAATGAAAATCCACATGAACTCTGTCACGGTGTGACTGAAAGGGAAGAAAGTCCACGGTAACCATCTACTATACTTTAGCAGCAATACAATCATACAAGTCTAAGGTAGGGAGTACTGAAGAACCATCAACACAAACGAATATCAACTAGATAATTGCTCTGTAAATGGCACAAAGTGAACCGAATATTAGATAACTCTGATAATCTAGTCAGTTAAACGGCAGACTAGAATATGAACGGCAGACTAGACTAGAATATGACTAACCCTTGACATGTGGCAATCAATTTAGATGCATGTCCACTCATTGTGCAAAATATAAAATAAAATAAAATTAGTTTTCCTTATAGAATTGTCACTTATCTTGCCTTTTTTGGTCTTGTATTGGCATCTTGAGGGATAATGTAAGACATCAGATTAACTCCCCAATGCTGCTATGACATGGAAGGGACAGTTAAACATGTACTGCTCTGATGAAGACTTGATCTGCTCTCACTACACACACACACCTACTGATGAAGGTTCTTACCGTAAGCAGCAACCAAGCAAAAATCTCACTGATTTCAGTTTTCATATATAAAAAAGCCGCATTACAATTTAATCCATGAATTAAAATCCCACTCCGGGGAAGAGGTCAGCTCTTTTTCTAGTTATTAAAAGGGGAGGGGGAGGGGTTAAATTGCATTTTCACCATGCAGGATGTTAAAAATGGGTAATAGTGTACCCCTATACAATATGCACAACTTCTAACAAGTGTATACCATTTGAAATACAGAACAGTATTATTAAGCCATTAATACAACTGCACAAGCTATAATAAGAGCTAACCATTAGTTTAGATGTCGACGGCATGGAGACAATATCTCTGGAACCATCTGGCAGTCTGAGAATTAGTTTAGATTCAGGGTCACCAGACGACCCGAGGTACATCTTCCACTCTTCTTCACTACTCGTGCTGCTCTCTTCAAAGTCTGACGACTTTTCTTCAACATGCAAATTATTACTTTCGGTCTTTTTATCTTCATCGGCACTTGTTAATTTTCTTCCGTTTAAAATTTTATCACCATTGAATGTTCTCTTCACAGATTCCTTCCCTGTAATTTTATTATCAAGAGAATAATCTATTTCCTCTGCATCAGAATCAAACGTCTCCAGTGTGTCCGAGTCATCTTTGCCATCGTCGTCGTCGTCATCATCGGCTGTTGTTGGACTCGACTTACTGCTCGTGTCTTCGGCAAGAGAGGCTTTAATTGCAGCCTCTATCTGGGATTCCTCATCGGCTTCTATGATGCTCTCCTTCAATTCCTGAAACATACAACACTGCTTGTCAATAAATAATCATAAACCTCTAAAAATATAAACTTTTCAATTAAATTTATATCTTATTTCCACATGACTTAACCACGAATGTCCTTTAATGAATTCTAAACCGCATTAAAAACAAACATACAGATATGCAAAGGTTCCAGAAAGGATGTGTCCAATACCATAGTCCACCTACCAGGTTCGAAATACTTGTTCACGTGTTATGACCACTATATCTTTTGGACGCCCACTCTGGGATGAGGCACCAGAGAGACCAGCTTATTACTATACCGTACTGACCAAACAATGATCAACATACTTTACAACCTTCTTTTAAATTAAAATTTAAATGAGGGATCTGGATAAAGATGGTCCCACTGAATTATTCTATGATCCTCTTTTGTCTAGGTAATTTTCAATGGCATGGTAGTCATTAGGCATTTCATTCATCACAGCAGCTTAGCATCATCTGCAAACTTAATCATTTAACTGTGTATCCCTGCAGGTGCATCCTTAATCTATACTATGAACACTACAGTACTCGCAAAAATACCTAGCCCTGCAAGACGTCGCTGATGGCATTCATCCACTAATTTACTGGTTCTATCCCAACCCTGATCTTTCAATCAGTTTGATTCTTTTCGAACTGATAGGAGTACATTACTCCTATGTACTCCAACTTCCAGAATGGTCTCTTAAACTGGATTTTATCAAATACCTTTCCTAGGTGCACATCGATGCACTCTGCCCAACTGTATCAGGTCAAATCTCAGTAATTGTCATAAAACTACGATAAATTGGAGATACATGTTCATTAATACACAGTTTGTCAAGATATTCTTCCCATTTAATTGCTGTTATATTTTTAAATCCTTATCCAAATGTCTCCAAGTTTTCCTGTTTACAAATTTCTTGGGAATGGAAGCCATGGTGAACATGAAGCATTGACAACATTTCTGTCTATCTTGGACCATTAATAAGTCATTACATGACTTGATAATTATCTCACACTTGCCATATGGATCCTCCTAGGCCACCACACTCGCCTTCCGAAACAAAAATAAAGGTATCAAGTGGCTGCCGGCGTCGGTGTTTTTCCAGGCTTACAGCGGACAGCCCAAGCATAGCCTGCATTCCACCAGGGAACGTACTTCCGTGTGCCCCGGGAGGTTAAGCGAGGAACAGAGCAGAGTGCAGTATTAAATACGGAGTCTTGAAAAATTAGGAGGGCTCGAGCAAGAGCAGATCAGAGACGTCGGAAAGAGTTGTGTGGAGGGTAAAGCAGTTCCAGTCAGCCTTGGCAAACTGCCACCTAGGGAAGAAGAGGGAAGAGCAAAAAGAGAACGTGACAAGGATGGGGAAATGGTCACTATAATGGAGGTCATTGAAAACCCACCACGTGAAATCTAAATAAAGCCAAGATGAGCAGAGAGAAAGATGAAGACAAGAAAGGGTGTGAGAACAGGAGTCAACATGACTGGGTTCACCTGAATTCACCAGAAGACAGAACAGAGGACAAATGGTTCGAGAGGGAGGCCCCAGGTGTTTGTCAGCACATCACCCCAGAGGGTATGCCCACGGTTAAAATCACCCAAAAGGAGCACAGGCTCTGGAAAGAAGTCTAACAGGTGTTTAAGATCAGAAAGACAAAGCAGGGCATTATGGGGGAGATAAATGGAACAGACTATATACCATTTACTCACAAAGATATGGGCCACAGAACACTGAACGCGAGACTGAAAAAGTAGGGGGACAAAGGGAATATCAGAACGAATCAAGAGAGCAGTAGCGTTATGGGTCCCAGCAAAAGCTGGAGGGGAAAGGAGACAGGAATAACCATGGAAGTGACCAGGATGAGCGCCAAGCATCGGTTCCTGGAGACAGACACAAAGCGGTAAAAACTGCAAGATAAGAAGTTGGCAGAAAAACCACAAATATTCCACTGAAGAACAGACATCAAAAATAGATAACAGAAACAGAGATAAGGGAGAAACAAAGGCAAAGAAGAACACAGTAGACCAAGTAAGTTCAGGATCAGTGAAATCGGGGTTACGGGATATAGGTAAATCTAGCAAACATGATGGAGTCAAGGGAGCAGGAGGATGGACCAGAGACAGACTGACAATCTGGAGCGGGAGGAGGCATCGGAGAGGGGCAGTCAGGGGAATCGGGGGGAAAGGAAGGAAGGATAGGAAAAGGGTAGTGCACTGGATCAAGGGCAGTATCTGTGAGAGAATCAAGGACCAAGGGAACCTTCATAGCTAGGATAGGGGACTCCACCACCGAAATGACAGGGATAGAGTCGGAGTTGGAAGGCGAAGAATATAGTGATGCCTTCCTACCACCCGGGATGGAAGACGGAAAGGAGCCAGGTTTACATTTCTGACGTAGTGAGACAGACATACCAGCAGAAATGTACTGGCGAGAGCCTCTACAGTCTCGACAGAAGGAGAATGGGAGCGGTCCGCACAAAGATTGCCGGGAGGAGGATGGACAATGGCCTGGACAGAGAGGCGTTGTGGAGGGGCAAAAGAGAGAGGAAGGCTGAGAAGCAGGATTAGGGCGAGAAGGGAAAGAGGGCCACAGGAGACGGAAGCACTGTCCACTTAGCTGTCAGGCCCTGTCTTCTTCCATGTGTGTGCACTACAAATTTGAGGAAGACATCATTAATTTTAAAATTGCAATCATTTATGTTTTCCAGAGGCGAGATTCCAGGTTTGCCATCTTCCCTCTTTCTCTGGCATGTTTTATACTCAAGTGTTGTGTTCCACTTCTCGCCCTGTACCACTTTCTCAATTTCGCAACCGTTTCCAGGCCTTGGACCCTGACACCTCCACCACCTCACCTGATCCTTAACATTCTGGGCCAGAGGATCTTTCTCCTGGTTCTCCGCCTTGGTGTTTCCTTCCTTCCCAGTCTTTCGGAATCGTAGTCCTGAGGTTTCGGGTTCGATCCCCGGTGGAAGCGGAAACAAATGGGCCGAGTTTCTTTCACCCTTATGCCTCTGTTACCTAGCAGTATATAGGTACCTGGGAGTTAGACAGCTGCTACAGGCTGCTTCCTGGGGGTGTGTAATAAAAAAGGAGGCTTGGTTGAGGACCGGGCCACAGGGACGCTAAGCCCCGAAATCATCTCAAGATAACCTCTCTCAAGGGTGGATGTCACTGCAATTGATGCAGTGAGCTTGGGAAGAAGAGCACTCCATGTAAGACTGACCCAAGTCTCCACTCAAGAGGTATACACACACATCACTTGTGCACTTGAAGGGACCATGCCCAAATCTCCAGCACCTATTGTAGAGGCAAGGAAAGGGGATGTACTCCTGAACGAAGCATCTGGCACCTGCAAGAATGATAGATGAAGGGACCTACTATCAAAAATTATCTTCACTATGCCGTAAAGGCTGACGACGATGATGACCACAAGAAGGTTGAGTGAACTTGTCAATCTGGAGGATACAATGGCCTTGGGCCTCAAGTTTATATTTAATATCATCATGGCAGTCTTTAAATTCCTTATCACCAGTCACAACATGGTGCAGGAGAATAACTGTGCCAATACTGGCATTTAACCGGACAATTTTGGAGATCCGAATAGGAGTCTATCCAATGCAGGACAACAACGAAACCGGGCAGCCGCTTCTTGAGAAGGGGGCTACAACGACGCGTGTACCAGTACGGGTGGTTAAAAGTGACAAAGGTATCCACTGAAGCAAATAGGTGTTTATGGATGAATAAATCATCAGGACGTGTAGGATCAACATGACTGAGATCGAAATACTTGGTCCACTTAGCAGGGCTAAACAAATCATGTAATGTATTAGATCGGAAGAAATCGTGCGCGTGCAAGTGCAGAGATGACGGCGCCGAGCACCCCAAGTAAAAGATGCAGTTGCTACAAGGGACAGAGCCACTCCAGGTGACGAGGTGGTCACCACTGGGGGCTTGAGGCTCAACCCTGTCACAGATGTGGGAGGAGAGCAGAGAGAGAGGCAGTCAGGAGAATCAAGGCAGCTTAGTCTGGGCCCAATGTAGCGGGGACTACAGAGCCCGGCCTTCCATCACAGTCTGACTTGGGGGCCTGGTCGCCCACTCAAGTCTGAGAAGTTAATGAGGGATCAAATATCAACATAGAAACAAACAGGAATAAAATTTCGTCCATGATTAAGCCCCCCATACCCACCATGGAGCCACAATTAGAGGATAGGACATCCAACAAGATGGGACCTCCCTGAGCTGCATCACGGATATGCACCCTGCAATCATCACCTTAAGAACAGTCAGTCAGTCCGTCCAGATCTTGCTCGACAATGAGGGCAAAGTTTAACAATAAAAGCGTCCCTCGTTCGGCAAAGTCAGGTACCACAGTTCTACGGGCGAGTGTGTGCCTCCCCAAACACAGAAGAAAACTTCTTTAAAACAGAAGAAAACATCGGAAAGAATATTCAATAATGGCAAAAAAGTCAGCTGGAAGGAACAAACACTAAAGAGAAGTAGGAAGGAAAAATTAAAAATGAGGAGAAAAAAGCATCCAGCAAAATTAGTGAAGACAGCAGCAGGAGCATAAGGCTTCATATGACATAGAACAAGTTGTCCCCATGGAGCATCACACTCCGGCAGCCACCCACCAAGCTCCCTCACCACGGCAACGGGGCTCTCTAAGCAGTAGGTTATCTGACACTATCATACCAAGACGTCTCACCTGGTCACTGTTCTATGATGCCTCACTTTTTCATTCTCTGTCTTTTATTCCTTTTTAGGTCTTTTTTTCTCATACTGAAGTATAGTACAGTAACTGGAATTTGATACAGTTGAACATTCCATTACATTCTGTTGCTTACTGTAAGACCTTCTTGATATGTGACTGTAATTTGTCTTCCACCGAGGCAATTGTCATACTGATTTTGATATCCGTTGAAACCTAACTGGACTTTATTAGACTGACATCTATACAAGTGCCTTAAAAAATCCAAAAAATAATATAAGTGATAAATACTACAAATAATATTACTTGCAATGCAAGCTTTTTCTATTAAGTATTAGTGTCTGAAATAAATGATTAAAGCATACAATAGTTTCACAGAAACAAGTGTCTAGCAGTACAGTAGACACTAACCAATTTTTGTTTCTTTGGCAGTGGTGAACTCTCATCCAAGCCTGGGTGTGCAGACAAGAACTCTGTGACCAGGTCACAAAATGTCACAGCATCTAGCTTGTGCCAGGTAACTAAGTTCTCCCCAGTTCTGGGGTCCAGAACTGCTACATGTGGCCACTCTCCCACTTGATAGAACATCATGTATCGCTGCCCTTCTTCACTATCATGATAAACCTGCAATATCAAGACTCATTGGTAAAGAAAACCCATTTGGAAAAGTAAATTATATGTGAATGCCTTAAAAAACAGTAAATATGGTACAGCACTGTATTAAAAAAATGGAGAAATATTCCATACTAAATTTCTATTTTAATGCAAATCTATTTAAGAATATTTTGTCATTATTTCCTTTTAACCACTGTGCTGCGCCAACCGAGAAATCTCGTTCCGAGAGTTGTACTATTTTTTTTAATTAGGCTATATTTTAATGTTTTTTATTGTTTTCATCACTGTGTTTTGAAATTAAAATAGTTGAGTTTGGAAACATTTTGACATCAACTTTACCTGAACATTTAAAAAAAAAAATATGTAATTAACAATTGCACTATGAAGCTTTTGCCAAAAACAGGTGTGCAGTGCACGGGTTGATAAAAATATTCATTTACAAAGCAGCATCTTTGTGGTTTGTTGACGAGCGAGTCCGGAGCTCATTATTGTCTTACTAGCTCCCCTTACTAGGTCTTCACACAACAGGTTTCTCAGCTGGTCTCAGTTTAAAAGTGTGCGAAAAGCAAATTGGCACTGCAGTCATCATACTCTTAAATTCTCACTCTGTGCGTGTGGTAAATAGAACAGTGATGATTGTGATGATGACCCAGATCATCACCATAACATTTATACTAATGCTCCCTTTGTAGCCATGTCAAAACAAGACATGGCTACATGGCTACTGTGATACTGGACACAAAACTGTGTCCAGTATCACAGTCTAACTAGATCCTGCTGATAGTGGCAAAACTAGTAGCTTTATTCCACATTTTCTATTTAATTTTAAGTGGTTTTTAATTTAGTGTAGCATTTTCTCTCTCCATCCCTCCCTCACACACAAAAATCAGCCTATTGCTAACCAATGAAAGGGACCCTTAAAAATACAGCAGCATTGCTTGCTGGCAATTATTGATTGAACAAAACACAAATATACCTGCCAAAAAATGAAGTGCTCCTTAATTATGGTTTTCACTGCAGGATTGGACCACACATCTCTATTTAAAACTTGACATTGAAATTCACTGGAGTCTTGAATATTAACCATCAACCAGCGCTTTCTTGATACACCTGCATCTCGAGCCTATAAAGAGACACATTGGATCAGAACAATGGTTTGACATAATACAGCCTAACTACAGTACACGACACATTAAGTATACTGTTTACAACACATACATGAACAAAAATATGCATACATAAATATTATGTAATACTAAAGCTAAAGACAGCACAATGAAAAAAAAGATCTAGAATTCTCCTACAATTACTGCTGCTAATAATAAACCATTGTCATACGTTTTCTATACTTAATTCTTTAAGGTTCGTGCAACTTTTAAATTGGCGGTGGATGCGTTTGTGACCCAAGCAGCAGACATGGGGTAAACAACCTTCTGGATGAACGGGACGGGGAAAACACTACAAAACAACCTTCGAGAAGTCAACCAAGAGCAAGAAAGGAGAACCCCAAATGCAAAATCCAATCATTAAACGAGAAAAATGTTGAAGAAAATAAGCCCAAGGCGTATCTTTCCAGCATACACCTGGCTTATTGTTCTATACCAAATTACCCGGGAAACTTAGCAAATCATCCTTAACCCCTGTGTTGCTTGGCTATTAATAGCCTTCAACACCGCCAGGCGCAATAAATAAAAAAATTCAATTTTTTTTTTCGGCTTATAAAAATGTTCATTTGTGTTCCCTGATCACGGGAAAAATAACAACAAAATCATAGGCGACACATTTTGGCCACAATAGAGCGGGAATGTCTGGCAAACTTGAAGCGTTGTCAGACTAGGCATCCTATCTTGAGGTTATCTTGAGATGATTTCGAGGCTTAGTGTCCCCGCGGCCCAGTCCTCGACCAGGCCTCCTTTTTGCTACACACCCGCAGGAAGCAGCCTGTAGCAGCTCTCTAACTCCCAGGTACCTATTTACAGCTAGTTGAATAGGGCATCAGGGTGAAAGAAACATTTTGCCGATTTGTCTCCACCTCCACCAGGGATCGAACCCGAAACTTCAGGACTACGAATCCGAAGAGCTGTCCACTCGGCTATCAGGCGCCCTGTGGTGGTCTGCTCCACCCTTACTGACAGGCGGGAGTTGTCACAAAGATATTATTACTATTTATTTCAATGTTTCCGACTGATTTTTTTTTTTTGCAGTAATATTATTCAATAGTGTGTAGTGTGACACACATATATAATAAAAAGTGTGAACTAACTGTACAACTAAGCTGGTATGGCGAGTCAATACAATAATTGAAGTCACCACAGTCAGCTGATGCTTCCTCCCTCACTTGTCAACATTTCTCCTACTACTATACTGTTTGTGCTGTTTTATACACTATATACACACACACATTATATCTAAGTATCTACATGTTATATTCACCATAACTGTACAACTAAGCTGGTATGGTGTCCAAACAACATAGTGGCCACAAAAAACTGCTCAACAAGTGGCAGCCGCTACCAGACAATGTCACCGCCCTCACAAAAAATGGTTCCTCCCAACATACTCCTTTTACTGTTATTACACACGCTACATACAAGTAAGTACTGTATCTACATTTGTGTTCACCATAGCGAACCACTAAGTTGGTATAGTGAGTCCAGACAATAACAGGTGTATCCACAGAGGAAAACTCATTTTTCTCAATTAATATTACCGATATGATTCTTATAATACAGTACATGAATCTCTGCCCACTTAGCTACAGCATAATTAACATATATTTTCCTTAGATTATTTATGTTTACTTCACTCAAAGTAAGAGCAAACTGGTAAGACCGCTTATGATCAATCCCTTAACTGCTCCAGATATTTCTCTACCATGTCTGTCATGTGCACAACAAAATTTGTTCTGAATTTGTTTTTCTTTTAACATTGTTAATTAGCATACAGGAAGCACAAAAATCCTCATAAAAAGTCTCTACCTATCATGGTTTAGCTGCAGTGTCTCGTACAAGCAGCATTTTTGGTATAAATGAGTCGAGGTGTTGCTTGGGAATAACTTCATTGATTTACTTTCATTGTTCCTCGTTTTGTTTATTTTGTTTTTTCAAGTAAACATGTTGTATTGATACGTCAATAGTGATGTTCATTATGTATAACTTTGAAAATATACATATATACAGACATGCATATAAATATATGCATATAACTGCACATAGTACACATTTTGCTTGTAAATATATACATGGTAATCGCTCATTTTATGTTAAAAGTTGAATGGTTCCTAGCATGGCTGCTCGGTACTCTGAAAAACTAGATGATGTACCAGACATGGTCTGCATAATTGTACTAAGGCCCTCAAAAGGAAATTATGGGGTACATGACTTTTTCCAAACATGGCACATGATCAACAGAGTTCTCTAATGTCAAGTGACATCCCCATAGACTGGGTGGATCTTTATATAAAAAAAAATGAGACACCTTTAATCATCTCCAGGGAATTGAAGCACATAGGCCAATTACCTTGAGATGATTGGAGTGGTTTTAGGGTTAATACCTGCGATGCTCTTACAAGACAAAATGATTAATAATGACATACTTCACACAAACAATATACAAAGCATTTGTATAATCACTAACAGCCTGGAATGTGCCTCGATATATGAGATCAATAGGTGGTCTGAAGAGGTCTTCTAAGGTCTTCATTTTTCGGCGACTTCGATGAGTGGGAAGAGCATTAGTGTTGCTTGTAGATGCTCCTGCTGCCACAGACTCCTCCCTTGCAGCACTTGCTAACAACTCCTCCTCTTGACGCTCTACAGATAATTTCAATATTTTGGAACGTTAACATTAATGGAAGATAACCGAGGAGCAAAATTCCTTAAATACACTTACCGGCACTGTATTTATATTTTAGTACAAGTACAGAGGAGAATTTATGTATATTGTGGTGCGTAATTAATCCTTTCGGGACGGCATTTGAGACACCCCCTTTACCTCCCAAGGACTCAGTTTTACACCCCCTTTACCTCCCAAGGACTCAGTTTTACACCCCTTTTACCTCCCAAGGACTCAGTTTTACAAAGTATATACAAAATAAGGTTAATGGTGTTTAACCACTGCCCTACTCCAGGTGTCCTGCAGCAATTGGGCACATTGCTCCAACTGCTATCAGTCTTATTTTTTAACATTAAAGTGCAGGCCAGACAGCTATAACAGTAATACTCTAGGGGGCAATTTGTTTCATCAATGAGCCGAGTACTTTAAAAACATTAAATACAGTATAGCAGAGTATCGTCAACCACAATTACCTTAAATTTGTTGCTCATCATAAAGTACAAAAAAGTGAAATATTGGTTACATCTTTCTTCTGCCACTATTTAAAAGTTCTTGTCCCCAGAATCCTATGAATTGTGTATTTTGATTTTATATATTGTACTGCCCTTTAATACTTATAAAGCGGTACAATAATTATGTTAATCTCTGAACAGCATAATACTATTATTTTATTAATTTAATTCACATGAATTCAACTCCTACCCTTTCTTAATAACACACTTTTTCTCTCTCTTTTCATCATTAACAGTTTGTATACATACTTTCTGAATAAAAATAAAAGACAATATTCTATATCTTTTAAGCTGGCTCTGTACTTTCTTGAGTGGGAAATTTATTCTGTGAAAATATACAATGATGTGATGTAAAATTGAACCCCATTCATTAGGGATGACAACAATCCGATGGCCACTGCCTTTTCAACCATAAAAACTAACTTACTATCTAGGGTTCCATCACCAGCAAAGACAAATAATGTCCACTACTCCAAATTATAATTTTTCCAAAGTTTTATCCCATTGCATACAAATTACAAAAACACTTACTTGTCTCTGCTTGGAAGTCCCGAAATTTATCAAAAACTGATCGTGCTACTCTGCGTCTGCCACGAAATGAGAAAGAGAGTTCATCTGGACCCTCAACCAGCACTTCCTGCCTTTGTGGGATGGGAGCACGCACTGCCTCATCCTCGCCCTTGAAAAGACCAAAATACAGAACACTTGTCATGATCCAGCTGGACAATGGTACTCTTTAATCTGCTTAAAATACACAAACATACTGAGCTAATGCATTGGTAAAGACTTTACTATGAAGCTTTAAATTATATTAACAAATTTTAAGAGTATTGAAAGGAAGAAAAACAAACACTGTACAGAGAATAGACAAAAAGAATGATGTAAAATACTGATAACAGATTATTTAAAGATAATGATACCATTGCCGGCTGACAGAAGAAACTATTGATTTTTTACTTCTCTGTTGATTTTCAGAGAATCTGGGCATATAAGATATGGAATTTACCTCTATCCCAAAGTTCAGTACCATGATTAGGGTCACTTTTTGCAAAATCTAGAATAATCGTGCCAGGTTACTTGCAATAGTGAAAGGATTAAGGCAAGAGGACTCGTCAATCCCTCTGGTGAACAACAAGGAAGATGATCCCTGAGGGAGCCGAGGTAAGTTTGGAAGATCTTCGAGTCAGTACTGTATGATTCATAATCTGTCATTTGCAACTATGCTGGTTTGTCTTTCAGTACTCCCTGGCATCTTTCATGACAGCAGAGGACATTTGAAAAGTCCTTGTGGCACACTTATATCATCCCATTTGACAATTTTTCTGCCCAAAGACACAGCGGGATCTTACTTTAGTGAGCTACTGAAAACACAGAAGCTCATATAATGTGCTTATTCAGTATGATTTTTGGTACAAGACTGTGAAAGTACTGTGAAAACGTGCATAAGTATAGTGTGCATTCACGAGGAAATCATAATAGGGTAAGCCACGTGGCCGAGTTTCCCAGGTCACTCGTTCCATCCCCATACTGCTCCAATGACTCTCTACAGTATGCATGTTATCATTTTCATCCCCAAAACCAATTGATCGTGATACCAATATCTTGCACTGCTTAATTATTTATTAATTAATTAGGTTTATCAGAGGCAAGATATAAACTTTAAGCTCATACTGTATCAAGGTTCCCTCAAGGTGCAACTACTAACCCTCTCCAGGATGCAACCCAACAACAGCTGCATAACTCTCAAGTACCTTTTTACTGCAAGATGACCAGAGGCCCAACCATTTCTGTCCCACCTGGGAATCGAACCCACGGTACCTAAATGTGTCAAGAATGAAGCCAACTGTACTATGAGACCCTCAACCTGTCCTCACCACAAAAAGGCCAAATGCTCGTTAATTCACCCACCAAATGGTGTTTATGAATGATAAATACTACACACATTTGGTATTTGTATTTGGCAGATTTGTAAACCTCATTCTGGAGACATTCTTGTATCAACATGTCACGAAGGCCACAAGAATGATGGAAGGAGATGTTCCATCAGTGCTGGGTCTAATATTCACCAGAAAAGAAAAAGATATATTTGACATCCAGTACCTTCTTCCCTTGGGAAAGTGATCGTGTCCTGTTGGACATTAAATATGCATTGCGATCTAATCTAGAAGAGAATGGGGACATTAAAACAGTTTATAAACTATTTCAAGAGAGGACACTATGGGGGAACTTAAAAAAAATTAACGAGTTTAATTGGACAGACGTGTTGCTAGGAAAGGAAGTAAATGAGATGCATGCCAAATTTTGCGAAATATACGATGAAGGCGCACAAACATTCATACCAAAACAGAGATGCAGAACCAGAAAACAGAACTGGTTCAACAGAAATTGTGCGAGGGCCAGACAGGAAAAAACAAGAAACTGGGTTCAGTGTTACAGTAATCTCTTACTTAGGCAAGGAGATCCTGCCTTTTCCTTTACTGCCTATTCAACAACAACAACATACCTGCATACTAAGTATAAGAAATCAATAACAACAACAATATGTACTTAGAAGCCTGTGTCTAGATAAGACACCCCCCCCCCCCCTCCACCCTCAAGTACCCGAGACACCGAGACACCTGTCTGGGGCCAACGCCACTTGCCGGTCTACCAGCTGAACCGCTTGTTTAAGAATGCCGGCGATAGTTACCTGCACATCAGCGCCATCTACACTAAGCCTGACCCGCCTATATAAGCAGCTCACCACCGGCCAGACCTCAGAATACCTTTCGTGCTCTCACAGCCGTAACATCTACTGTCGCCTTCCCAGGAACCAGTAGATGCGTACAGCTATGGTATATTGTGCTTTGCACCTCTCTTTGCTGTTAACGTAACTGTCACATGTTTATATTTCTTTTGCATTTTATACTGTGGTAATGCCAAGTAGAATATGGGAATTGTTTTATTTGTTGTTAAAGTCATTTTTGTTATATTAAATATTTAAAGATTTTTTATTCTTTGGACTTTACCCATAGCTCTCACAGTAAAGAGGTCAGAAGCAGTCTTATTTACTTTATTTTATTTTTTTTATTTTATGTGACTGACATATCACCTGCCGGATTAGCCACTGCTCTATTCTTTCACTTTTACGTCACAATAGGAAGAGGCCTAACCCATAAACATACCAGCACTACAAGCAAGCAAGCAAGCAAGCAAGAAACAATTACACAACAGAGAGGCAGAGAGGAACTTTGAAAAATGTATAACAGATAAATGTAAAACTGACCCAGGCCTTTTCTATAAATTCATTAAAAACAAGCTGCATGTAAAGGATAAAATCCAGTGATTGAGAACGGAGAACAGGACTACTGTACTGAGAATGAAAAATAAATGTGTGAAATGCTAAATGAACAGTTCCAAAGTATATTTGTTCAAAATAAGGATTTTATAGAACTGGACCTAATACTAATTCCAGAGCAAGCCATAGAATACATAGTGGATCTCAAGATCCCCTATGTATTAGCCAGGGAGCCGGTCAGCCGAGCGGACAGCACGCTGGACTTGTGATCCTGTGGTCCTGGGTTCGATCCCAGGCGCCGGCGAGAAACAATGGGCAGAGTTTCTTTCACCCTATGCCCCTGTTACCTAGCAGTAAAATAGGTACCTGGGTGTTATCAGCTGTCACGGACTGCTTCCTGGGGGTGGAGGCCTGGTCGAGGACCGGGCCGCGGGGACACTAAAGCCCCGAAATCATCTCAAGACAACCTCAAGATAACCTCAAGACTCAAATGGAAATCTCAAGTAGAATCAAGTAGAATCTCAAGACGAAGTGGAAAAATTACTCAAGAGGTTAGAAAGAAATAAAGCAGTTGGATCTGATGGAGTTTCATCTTGGGTGCTGCAAGAATGTGCAACTTTCTGATATGGATGAAAAACTTTCTACATGACAGACAGATGAGGGCAGTAATCAGAGAATGTATCTGAGTGGAAGAGTGTTACTAGCGGAGTACCACAGGGTTTGGTTCTTGCACCAGTAATGTTTATCATCTACATAAACGATCTACCAGAAGGAATACCAGAAAGTGCTTAGAGTGTAAAGTGGCAAATGGAATTCAATGTGGATAAATGCCATGTTATGGCATGTGAAGTCGGAGAAAATAGATCTCACACAACTTACAAATTATGCGGAATGGAATTACAGAACTTTAATAAAGAACGAGACGTAGAGGTGGTTTTGAATAGTAAGCTGTCGCCAGAGGAACACACAAAGAACATTGTGAGAGGAGCGTATGCGTCGCTTTCCAACTTCAGATTTGCTTTTAATTATATGGATGGTGAAATACTAAAGAAATGACTTTCTTTAGTATTGACTAATAGTATTGACTATTTAGTATTGACTACTATTGAAATGACTTTAAAGAGTTCATGACTTTTCTGAGACCAAAACTGGAATATGCAGCAGTTGTATGGTACCCAAATCTCAAGAAGCACATAAATAAACTGGAAAAGGTGCAGCGGAATGCTACAAAATCGCTTCCAGATCTGAAAAAACAAGAGTTACAAAGAGAGACTATAGACATTAAAGATGCCTAAACTAGAAGACAAACGAAAGAGAGGTGGTATGATCACCACATACAAAATTCTAACAGGAATCGCCCAAACTGACAAGGAGGAATTCCTGAACCCAGCAACATCATGAACAAGAGGACACTGCTTCAAGCTAAGGAAACAGAGGTGCCGAAAAAACATTAGAAAGTTTTCTTTTGCAAACAGAGTGGCAGATGGTTGAAACAAGCCAAGTGAGAAGGTGGTGGAGGCCAAAACCGTCAGTAGTTTCAAAGCGTTATATGACAAAGAACACTGGGATGACAGGACACCACGAGCTTAGCTGTCATCATGTAACTACACTTAGGTAATTACACAATTCACAATTGATGACGTAATTTTCTCAAACAGTGATTAGTTTGAGTTCTCTACTTGAATCGTCCCTCTCTGAATGCTTCATCTACATACTGGAAATACCAATAATTGCCAACAGAACTTGACCACCTAGCCTAAATTAAGTTAGTCCTAACTATTAATAACCGCTGCATTACGTAGGAATGCGGAGGAATTTCTGATGGAGGAGAAGACAATTGCACAGCGCGATCCGCAGCGCAGCGTGCGGAGCGCTGCGGGGGGACTATATAAGAGAGGAAGGGACATGCGTTCTATCTTGCTCCAGCCTCGCTCAGCTCCACAAGTCAAAGGAAAAAATTTTTAGCACAAACGCTACAAACACGCTTCGCTTGGCAAGAAAAAGGAATAACATAGGACTCTTGTGTTCTTGGGACTTCTAGAAGCTATGGAAACTACGATTGCTACCTCGATCGCAGCCCCCACCCTGGTTTGAGTTTAAACTCCGGGGGCACTTCAACCTCACATGCTGAAAACCTAATGTCGGTCCACAGTACTCAACTTTCACCAAGGTAAAGTGATATCTTATGTTCTAAATGTAAAGCTAGGTTCCTCCCAAGTGTCGGCGTGTGCCCAGCGCTGTTCCCCACGCGGCCTGTAGACGTTCCAGCTAGGTCATGCCTAGGCAGGGCATTCTAGGCTGCCCCAGCACTATTGTACGACGATTAATACGGAATTCTTATACAGCCTTGCCCTAGCCGCTAGCTTGCCAGATTTATAGTCTGCCGGTTAAGCCCGGGAATTTTATATTTATTCAGTATCATCGATGCTATTTTGCCGGAATTTTGTCCGCCGGTTAAGCCCGGATCCTTTTATGTGGCTCCTAGCTGTGGATTGCTAGTCATATCGTCTGCCGGTTAGGCCAAATAATTTTATGCAGCCTACACTGTGGCTGGGTCGCCGAACTTCGGTCGGCAGGTAGTGCCCATCAAAAATTTTTTTTTTTTATGAGGCA